ATTGCTCCCCTAAAAGTACTGCCCATACTAGGAATTCCAGATTCCTTTTATTCTTTTCCTCTCCCTCTCTCCCTTTCTTCCTTTTGAGAGCCCACATGAGCCTTGGTTTAAAAGGTTCCCAGTCTGTTATAATCAACCCTAAAAGTTAAAATTTTGTTTTTGAATACTTACTTTTTCCATTTAGAAGGCTGGGGGAGGGGTATATTTTAGAGAAAACATATCGAACCCAGAAAAATGACTCTGCCTAAGTCATTTAACCTTGTTAGAGCACAGATTCCCCATTAGCAAAGCTAGGTTATTGAACTGCTCTCTGTCTTGTCTGTGTGTACCTACAAAACTCAGACATGGAATCTAATATGTAAATTTTGATGTCCCCAATCTTTCTCTCAGAATTAAAAAGGAATGTAGATTAGTATTTTAACGTAGAAGGTAAGTGTCTTAATTGGTATGTAAAGGCAATATTGCATTGCCTGTTGTCTCAAATACAGCTTGTTTTCAGTTGAGAATTTCTGAAACATGACATAAACCATGACAGTGCAATTTTAGGCAAAATTTCCCAAATGTGCTGTTGAAAATGTGTATACAGTACAAAAAGGCATGCCAGAAAGATGAGCCCTTAGAGTGGTGGAGTCCTACATCCTAAGTGTCATTAGAATATTTCATAGTAAATTTCAACATGATCTTCATGTTCTTTGGGATTTCTTACCTCCAGGAGAGATGTAGAAACAGTTGAGTTGAGCTTCATGCACCAAGGTGCCCTTAAACTTCACCTCTGTTTCTGCCGACAGGTGACTGCCAAGTGGCTGGTAGGCAGGTGTAGCAGGCTGCACCAAGGCTCGAAACATTGTAAATTTCCAGATGTGTACTAATAAGTACGTTGATTTTGAAAAATAAATATCCTGCTCATGAGCTTTTCTCTTTGTAATTTTTTAAAACCCAGAAACCATTCCTGAAGTTACCATCACAGGGCTACAGAAGTTTGCATAGCCATATCACGTTGCTGCAAACTTAGGTTACAGTAATTATTTTAAGATTATTCTAAAAAACCACACCTTCTTCCTTCGTTCATTTCAACATTGTCCTTTTCTTTTCCCTCTGCTGTTCTTACTGCCTACGTAGGCATGGGCTTCTCACCCAGTGGCTTTACAGGAAAACTTGGATTGAAATGTGAAGTTAATGGTTTCTGTCAGCCTGTCAGCTCATCACCTCCCTAAGGCATGATGATCTCTGGTTTTTATATATCACCACGAGCTGCTTTGATATACCCTCTTGTGTGGAAGAGTGATAGGTCTGGCCAGGGGTTGGGAGACCTTGGGCCTAAGAAGCAGAAAACTTCAGTTGGAATGTGCACTTTAATGTAATTCACTGCCCCTTTCCCAGTGGAATGAAGCTCAAGTGGCAAAACTATTTTAGGAAAAGAAAAATTAGCCCCAGTTCTACATTGTATCTTGGTGCCACCTTTCAGGATCCAGAACTGGAGCAATCTGTTGCTTGCTCTCCCTCTCTTTTGTTTTGTTTCCTCTTGGCTATTTAGATTTTAGGTTCAAAGTAAATATTAACTGAGATGAAAAGAACTATTTCAAAATGATCTTGTTTTAATCTTAAAGCCACGTTGCTTTAGAGATAAACAGTCCTGTCCTAAAGAAGTCACCACAATGTCTTAAATAATTACTACAAATCCAGTCTTTCCTTCATTCTGCTTTGACATTTGAAAGATGTTTCCATAGCTTTTCCCTTTCTAAATCTTCATTTCAGTTCCTCATGGTTATGACAATGTCAAACTGCTTTTCTATTTGTATCAACAGTTTCCTTGGCATCCTCCCCTTACAAAAACCTAGTTCCTTATGTCAGATGACACAAATGTGTGATACCACAAAAATTACACCCAAAATATTTCTATTAATATATTTTACTGATGAGACACAAATATCTGGTTTTTCCTCTGCCTCTGTGTTCTTGGACCTCAGATTCCTTAGTTATGCCAGGTTTTTCTTCCCTGCTTCCACCCTCCTCCTTTGATAGTTTTGGAAGATTCAGACTGCCGTGAAAGAAAATTTGCACTACAGTCAAAAAATAGATCAGGCTCCTAGTTTTGTAACAAGATTAAAGCACACAAACATACTCAGATTTATAAGTGGATGAATGTCAGTGATTCAGTCCACTTTTACTTACAAGACAGGAGACTGGGTGAGTTTGGATGCAGGAACCTGCATGAGAATCAGAGTGGGGAGTTAGTGTTGATGGACTAGAGACAACCTTGAATATAAAGTTTTGAGATACACATTTAATGATCTTGAGATGAAAGAATACTGTTTTGGTGTAAAGGCACTTGTACCATTAAGCTGCAGAACTCAGATGTTCTTTTTTCCAAAAGATTGCTAATGTACTAAGGAGAAATATATGGATAATATGATCCTGGTTAAGAAAGAGCTGGGAGGGGTCACTTTTTTCCTCCTTTCTGAGGTATATTTATTATACAAAAACGAAGTTAAAACCCCATTGCTATCTTTTGGCATGTTTACTAGTAAGTTTAGATTCATAGAGTTCATTTTTTAAGATATCTGCTTAAAATAGCACTAGGAAAAACATTTCTTCTAATTAACTTTTGAGTAGTAGCTGGTGGATTTGAACCACCAGCCTTTTGGTTAGCAGTCAAATGCCTTAGGCACTATACCACCAGAGCTCCTAACTAACTAGGTAAGAGACACATTAATTTGGGTGAAAGGAAAGGCAATATACAAAAAGTAGATGACCTGTACAATATCACTAAGGAAAAGGAAGACACAGAAAAGTGCACAAGACTTTCAGGCAACCAAGGTAAACACTTACACAAAAAGTGCTGCATTATCAGGAATAACAATGTATGAATGGATATATAGGTAGACAGGCAAGATGATCAAGTATGGATGGGAGAACAAAACTATACCCACGACCATATAGGTTTGACAGATGATATTTCTACATACGTTATCTGTACAATCTGTTAAAATATCCATGTATATGGTAGAGCTAACGGGCATAACCAAAAACCTTGTGGGCTCAGTACTATAGTAATAGGGGACATCAAGGTTAATTGGCATAACACAGTCCACAAAGACAATGTTCTACATCCTACTTTGGTGAGTAGTGACTGGGGTCTTAAAAGCCATCTAAGGTGCAACTATTGGTCTCTCATTTTCTGAAGCAAAAAAGAGTGCAAAAAAATCAAAGACATGCATGGAAACAATCTAAGGGACTAGTGAACCATGTGAACCTCGGCCTTCACCACCCTGAGACCAGAAGTATTAGATGGTGCTTGGCTACCACTCCTGACCACTCTGAAAGGGACTACAATAGGAGGTCTTGGATAGAGTAGGAGAAAAATGTGGAACAAAACTCAAAATCAAAAAAGACTAGGCTTCATGGTATGATAGAGACTGGTGAAACCCCCAAGACTGTGGCCCTTAGTCACACTTCAAACCTGGAACTAAACTCACCCCCATGGCTCAACTTTTAGCCAAACAATAGACAAGCCTATAAGGTGAAAAATAGTACCAGGAAGGTACACACTCCTTAGAACAACCAGCCCTAAGAGATCAAAAGGGCCTAAGAGATCAAAAGGACTGCATTTGCCCAGGGATGAAGCTCAGAAAGCAGAAAGGGATAGGAAAGGATAAGGGGAAGAAATGGGAAGAATGCTATTATATTGTAGGGATTGTGACCAGTGTCACAAAACAAAATGTGTATGAACTGTTGAATGGAAAACCAATTTGCTCTGTAAATTTTCACCCAAATCACAATAAAAATTATAAACATTTCCTTTACCATTTGGTATCTGAATCATTGTGGACAAGAAGCAAAAATTCCACACCTAGGCATTGGTCAGGCAAGTGGGGGGGAAAAGCTGTGGTTAAAATGTCACAGCTGATTAAATGACCAAGTAGTATTCATATAATTAAATGTTTTGAAAGTTTTTTTTGCCAGTTTTCATTGTCTTATCCTACATAATATTGCTACTATTTTCAATGAAGTTTTTAAAAATGTATTATGTAGTTAATGCACTACTTACTTGATTAATACCACCAGATCCTCAACTAGATATATATAAATGTATTTTGGAATCATTTCAGCCTTTGCTATAAAAATGATTCAGATGGTCACATGATACAACTTAAAAAAATTACTAAATGAATCAACAGCAGCTGTATTATACCACATTTTTCTTTCATTACTAAATGATTAAACTGTAGTCATGTCTAATGCTTCAACAATTGTAAATTTTCTGACATGTTGAAGTTAAAGATTTATTATTGAATTTTATTTTTGCCAGCACCCCTATTCTAAATTATAGCTGACAAAGCCAATTTCCAGTTAACATATTCCTGCAGCAGGGGAGTGGTTTCTATGCATAATTTGTGCATCAGGTTTCTCAAAACATACAAATAAAGATAAAATATGTTTATTAAATGGGTAAATGGAGTACAGAAATGATATTCCAAAGCCAGGAAGTTCAGAACTTATAATTTCATTTTCACTGTGTATATACATTCATTTCAGAAGCATTTGCAAAATGCCTATTGTGTTCAGGTGCTAAATTTTCAAGAAAAACACACATTATTGGATACATGTATCTGTATGTGAGGAACCCTGGTGGCTCAGTGGTTAAGTGCTCAGTTGCGAACCAGAAGGTGGGCTGTTCTAAGCCACCAGTCGCAATGTGTGAGAAAGATGTGGCAGTCTGCTTCCATGAAGATTTGTAGCCTTGGAAACCTTATGGAGCCATTCTACTGTGTTCTACAAGGCTGTTATGAGTACAAATTGACCCAATGGCAATGGGTTCTGTGTGTGTGTGTGTGTGTGTGTGTCTTTGGATAAGACCACTGCAGATTTCTTTGTGGACTTAAGAAATTTCAATGCTAGATTTTCAGACTTCAGTTCTGGTGATTGTTTTCATTTATAGGATAAGTGTACATGTTCCTTTAGAATGGAAAAGGTAATTTGTTTGATGTGTTCTTTTGTAGTGTCCATTTATGGAATTTGGTTTTATGATAAGGAAGAATGCCAAAGAATTGCAGAGCTTATGAAAAAGTAAGTGCTCAAGGTTAAGTATTTTTCAGGACCTGGTGCTTTTGTGTTTCTGAATGTATGTAACTATAATTTTAATTTCTTACTGAAATCCTTTTCACAGTCATCCAGAAACATTTATTATTATTTAATAAATGAAAAATAGACATAGAAAGGACTTGCTGCATTTTCATTAGGTAAGATTTATCATCTGGAATGACTCAACTCATTTTTTCTGCCAGTGTAAAATATATGTGTGTTCTTCCAAATGGCAGTTTTCCTTAATATTTTCTACATTTGTAGATTAGTAGTTATTTTTTTCCCCACCCCTGGTAACCATCAAAGAATATTTATGTTTTTGTGAAACCCTTTTCTTGACTTTTTACCATACCGAACCAAAACCAAACTCACTGTCATCGAGTTGTTTCCAACTCATAGCAATCAATGCCCATTGGGTTTCCAAGGCTATAAATCTTTAAGGAAGTAGATCACCATGTCTTCCTTCTGTGGGGCAGCTGGTGGGTTTGAACCACTGACCTTCTGGTCGGCAGCCAAACGCCTTATCCACTACACCACCAGAGCTCCTTAGCGATCTGTAAAGTAGTAATTTTTTGCTTTTAAATATAAGTTATCAATATGTATATCAATAAAGAGAGCATTCAGAGCCATTCTAAAGGGCTGCTTCAGATTCGCTTTCATTTCTTTCCGGCCTTCCATGCTTACCCATGCCCATTTAACTGCATATCCATGTTTGTAGAAGCTCTCAATTTTCTCACTTGTCTCAGACACTGTGTATCCTTGTTGTTGTTGTTGTTATGTGCCGTTGAGTCAAACCCAACTCACAGAGACCCCTCCTTGGGTTTCCGAGGCAGTATCACTACGGAAGTAGGATTGCCCAACCTTCTTTCCGAGGAGTGGCTGGTGGGTTTGAACCGCCAGCCATCTGGTTAGCAGGCAAGTGTCTTAGCCACTGTGCTATCCTTAGGATAGTCTTTATTTTCAATTTCTTTGGAAACATCTGAGTTAATATTAATTTAGAAATCAGTAGATAGTCTTTCTCATTACTAATCTCTTTTTTCTTTTAATCTCTTCATACTTTATGATATGTCCCTTTCTGCATTTTGGGAAACTTAAATTCCTGTCTGACTTTCCCACTCTTTGTGTCCCTGATTGCCTTGAAGGGAGGACCCAGCCTACTGTTTGCTCTGTGATTGGCCGCCTCTCTGATCAGTTCTTGAGCCCCAGGGCTGCTCACTTGGAGGCAAGTGTTTCTCTGCTGTTTATGGGGATGGTAAGAAAGAGCCTCAGAATTAAATGAGTTTCCTGCTTGTGCTGTACCTCAGCCTGGACTGGACTCAGCTGAGCACAGAGCTGCTGCCCACACTGATGTGACAGAGTATCTCCAGCTGAGAAAGAACCAATTTCCAGTTTTAAGTCCTAGGGCAATGAAATGACTAAAAAGTGGCCCCAAGGCAATGAAAAATGAGAAGCCCCCCCACTTTTTTTAAATAAATCGGCATTGATTCCTGAAAATCTAGCTTCTGATAACTAATTGTAGGTAACTAACTCAAGTTGCAGCTGGTGATTAAGTGTGTTCAAACTGGTATTTACCGCCATAACAACTAGTTTCTAGAACTTTCATGTTACTGTAAACTGTGCAGTGGATTATAATAGCAGGATTTCATATAGACTAAAAAATACCTTGTAGCTCAGCCAAGAAGCCATGTTACAATTGTCAGCATTCTGCATAATTATGTAACAGCTGGGGAGGACATTGATTGTTCACCAGCAATAAGCAGCTGATTGGTGTGGATTCCGAGCCCTTCCCCAATTAGAAATCTCTCAGAAAATTCTCTTTTTTTTTTCCATAAAATTCATAGCAATAATAAAAGAATGTAAATGGAAAGTCAAAGCACACAAAGGAAAAAAAAAAATATTTCCTCAGCATCACCTAACAGTAGACAGGCAGAATTTGACCTATCTTCCCTGGTAGTGTAGAGCCTAAGGCGTTTGACTGCTAACCAGAAGGCTGACCGAAGGAAGGTTGGGCAATCTACTTCCATAGAGATATCACCTCGGAAACCCAAGGAAGGGTTGCTATGAGTCTGGTCTGACTCCAAGGCACATAACAACAACAGCAAGCTCTTCTCGGAATTAGTATGGAATCTTCACCGTGTTTCTGAACTGCCAGAGAACAATGGTACTTGAGTTGCTGAGATCATCCTTGCTTTAACTTCAAAGCAGTGTGCAATGAGGGGAAAAAAAAATCTTGATTTCTGTTGAGATTCAAACCCAAGAGGGTTTGAATAACTTTGTGCGGAGAGACCAAAAAACTGACCTGGGGTCACTCTAAAAGACATCGAGTTTATTAGGGGCTCTTATGGGAGCTCTGCTAGCGTAGTGCCTAAGGCACTTGACTGCCAGAAGGCTGGCGGTTCAAACCCACCAGCCACTCCTCAGAAGGAAGGTTGGGCAATCTACTTCCGTAGCGATACTGCCTCGGAAACCCAAGGAGGGTGGCTATGAGTTGGTCCTGACTCCACGGCACATAACAACAACAACATGGAAAAGCAGCAACTGCATCCAGCAGCGGCAGGCTGGTCAATGTCTCCTGAGGTCTATGCCCCACCCCCCACCCCCTGACCTACAAGTACTTGTACAGTAGTAGAACAATCACAAGGGGGCTTGGTGACAAGCCAGACTAGTCTGTCTGGCTGCCAATGCAGGTGATCAGCTTCCCTCCCAGGGTATTGCAAAATGTTCTGGCCAATAATAAGTTTCTATACGTTGGTGGTCACAAGTGGATGTTCCTTCCTCATAAAGTGTTGGCATCAGCGGCTGCAAGCTTGGCTGCCCCAGGAATGTATAGGGAGAGGAAGCCAAAGAAAGGAAGTACATTTAAGATGGCAGAGCAGGAGCCATTTTCAGGTGTTTTAAAAGCCTAAAGCTCTGGTAGCATGGTGCCTAAGGCACTTGACTGCTAACCAGAAGGCTGGTGGTTCAAACCCACCAGCCACTCCTCAGAAGAAAGGTTGGGCAATCTACTTCCCTAGTAATACTGCCTCGCAAACCCAAGGAGAGGTTGCTATGAGTCAGGTCTGACTCGACAGCACGTAACAACAACAGTATACAATTTGCTATGCAGCTCTCTTGCTGTTTGAGAACTCTAAATTGGGTTTCCTTAGCAATTCATGAGCCCTTTCAAATGCCCTAGATAAATGGTTGGGAAATTTTTCTGCAAATGGGCAAGATAGTAAATATTCTAAGCTTTGCAGGCCCTATATTAGTTGCAGGCAGGGCTTCAAACCAGTTCACTTTGGTTCGACCTCCTGCTGAAAATTTGCATTTGCACCCCAGATGTACTAAATCAGAATCTACATTTTAACAAGATCCCCAAGTGACTCTTACATATGCAGGATGTCAAACCATGTAATGAACCAGTTCAAATCCCTGGTTACAGCTAATCAGCTCTGCAACGAGAAGTATGGCTGTGCTACAATAAAATTTTATTTACAGGTAGGTAGTGGGCCGGATTTGACCTGTAGGTCATAGTTTGCTGACTCCTATTCTAGACTCATCTAGGCTGTCAGTGTATACAGCCCCCCAAATCTCTTTTCTTTTTTTCAGTTCCAAGCAGTCTTTTTTCCTAATACGATTGTAACAGTATAAAAATAACTGGATAAGAATCAGGAGATAGTTTTAAAAACCATTTGTGTTCCATTGGTTTTTCTTGTATGGATTTCCACCTTTGCTTTCTAGCCTGACTCAGTATGAACAGTTGAAAGCCCATCAAGGAACAGCAGCAGGAACCTCCCCAATGATCCTCAATTCAGGAGAGGGGAAGGAAGTGGATATCTTAAGAATGCTGACCAAGGCCAAAGATGAATACACAAAGGTGAGTTTTTGTCCTTTCTTGTGATACATACTTAAATTCCACAGTGGGGATATGCTCTTTGAGAAAGGTTGGATGTTATTCCTTTCATCAGACAAACTCATGAAAAATAAAATCTTCATTAGCTTTTAGTAGGCTAAAGAAAACTAGTATTTGATTTTAAGTGAATTAAAAAATAACCTAAAGAATCAGTAGCCTTTATATATACAAATAAGGAGCTCTGGTGGTGTAGTGCCTAAGACATTTGACCACTAAGCAGAACATTGGTGGTTCAAATCCACCAGCTACTCTGCAGAAGGATGACTGGGCAATCTGCTTCCGTAAAGATTTACCACCTCGGAAACCCACTGGGGGGTCGCTGTGAGTTGGAATCAACTCCACAGCAGGGAGTTTGGTTTTGGATTTTTATATATAACCTGTAACTTTAAGGTAATCCCTAAAGAAATACCAATAAGTTTCTTTTTTCTCTTTCTTTTTTTCTTTTTCTGGAGCCAGACAAGTTGATTATAAGGTTCATGTTGAGAAATTTAAAACAAGGTAGAATAGCCAGGAAACTCTGGCAAAAAGAGCAATGTGGAGAGCAAACTCTATCTGATACTAAAACATTAAAGCCTAAATATTTAAAACAGTGTGGTATTAACACATGAACAGCCAGATAGATTAATAGGATAGATGAGAAAGTCCAGAATTAGACCCAAGTTTATATGAAATTTAGGCTATGATAAAGTGACAATCTCAAATTTGCAATTTCAATGGATTTTTAAATATATGGTCTTGGGACAACTAGTAGCCATTTGGAAAATACAAAATTAGATCCAACCTCACACCAACTACCAATATAAATTCTAAATGTGTTAGAGGTTTAAATGTAAAATTAAAATTCTTCAAGTACCAGAAGAAAACATATATGGATTTTGTTGTAATCTGGGAAAGGGGAAATCTTCCTAACTAAATCTCAAAACCCAAAAGCTGTAAATTTAACTATAAAAATAAATAAACCTTTTGCATGATTTTGGGAGCCCTGGTGGCACAGTGGTTAAAGCCCTTGGCTGCTAACCAAAAGGTTGTCAGTTTGAACACACCAGCCTTTCTGTGGGAGAAAGATGTGGTAGTCTGCTTCCATAAAGATTACAGCCTTGGAAAACTCTTATGAGGCAGTTCTACTCTGTCCTATAAGGTCGCTACTTATAGGAATCTACTCAACAGCAGTGGATTTGGTTTGGTTTTTGGTTGCATGATTTAAAACACAGCAAAGTAAAAATAGTAATAATAATAAAAGATGAGAAAAAAAAATTTACAACCTAAATAACCCTATTTTATAAAGAGTTTATGACCTTTAAGAAAAGATTAACACCCTTAGAAAAATAAGAAAAAAAGAGAAGTCCTAAAATTTGGAAACTGGATGAAACAAATGTACTTAACTGAATATCATGTTTTGACATGGATTGCAAAGAAAAGGAATTAGTTTTTAGTAACTTTAGAACCCAGTATTTGAACTGAACACTTTTACTGCATTGTATTTTAAGGACAAAAAGAACTACAAAGAAATTATAAACTTTAGTCAGCGGTTTTATTGTTAATAGTAATATTGGCATTGTAATTTTGCAACTGGTGTGGAATATAACAAATGCATAATTATGTTAATGTGGTCAGAACAGAACTTTCAATGTAAGAGTGAAAAAGAAAAAGAAATTAAAACCATATAATACCAGATTTAAAATGTAAAAGTAATAGAATTAGTTCAATATTTTGTTTCTTAAATATGTAGTTCCTACCTCTCTGCCTGCAATACCCTAGACAAGGTAACAATCCAGTAGCAGTAAGCACCCCCAACACCCAGAATGTTTCTAAATATTATTCCTACTAAGAGATAGCAGGGTACCTTAAAGAAATTTCTGATATCAGGTCTGGGACAAGAAAATCAAACTAATAAGTCATGTGAAGAGGGTAAAATAGTCAGCTTGAAAGGACCACTGATCAAAAGCATCAAAAGAATGACTGCAATGAATTGAAACACAGTGAAAATATAAAAATTTATGAATTCATGGTTATGAGAGAACAAACATACAAACAAAAAATATCTATGTGTATAATATATATACATATAATATAAAAAAAATTATTATTGGCTATCCTTAGGTATACTACGGCACCAACTCCTTACTCTGAAAGTCAGCAATTAATGGGGAAGAATTGAACATTTATCCTGCCTGCCCTCTATGGACCATATTTCAGAGTAGTCCAGTAGCCCTGGAACAGCTAATGTAGATGGAGTGATAGAACTTAAAAACCCTGTACTGAAATAATTGATTTAGGCAATGATCCTAAGTAATATTAGAAAAATATGAGAAAGTGATGGGAACTTGACCATGGGAAGATCAGTCTGTCACCACCTGAACACACTGATCAACATCATAAAAGTTGGATAACCAGATATTCTGTGCCTCCTAATGTGACATAATGTGAAATATACAATACTACCTGAAATATTCTTGCCAAAAGAATTGATCCTAAATCTAATTAAGTCTTGAGCTCTGACTTCCTAGCCTATAGAAAACTAAGGGAAGGAAAGGAATAGTAAATAAAAATGACACCACAAGGAAGCAATCAGAAAAATCCTGAATGAAGTAGGACATGCTAAAGGACAATTGAGCCAGTTTTTCAACAGGCCTTTGACTTTATTGTTGACTCACCTTTGATTGTTATGACTATGACTTAACAATACTTTTCCTTGAGTGAAAAGGAGTTTATTCTTTATATTCTTATTCATCTTTATATCCCTAGTCTTCTTCAGAGTAGCATATGGTAGTGGAAAATAAATGGTTGTTGAATGAATGAATATGAATAAGCCACCATGTCATTATCCATCCATCATAGAGCCTGGACAGAGATGCTTTTTTTCATCTCAGCTTCAGTCAATATTTTGTTGAATTGATAAAAAGCCATTAAAAGACATCCTAATGACTTGGCAACTAATCAAATAATTAAATAATTATATGTTATTAGTTGTACTGTGTTACCCAAACCAAACCAAACCCACTGCCATTGAATCTATAGTGACCCTTTATGATAAAATAGAAGTGCCTCATAGGGCTTCCAAGGCTGTAAATCTTTACAGAAGCAGATGGACACATCTTCTCCCACTGAGCAGATGGTGGGTTCAAACCATTGACCTTTCAGTTAGCAGCCGAGCACTTAACCACTATGCCACCAAGGTACTATGTTAGGCACACTAAAGAGTAATCTTTAAAAAGTAAGACATTTCTGTCCTCTAAGACCTTAACATTCTGTAAAGAGATCATAGCAGTGGTCAATAAATATATTTGCAAATATTAATGTGGTATTAATTAATGCACATAAATGCAAATATTAGAAATGGTTTTCTTTCCTCTCCCTCCCTTCTTTCAACACACTCAGAAGCACTCATACACAGTTTTGAAGACTTCATTGATGCAATCAGTGTATATTATTTACCCACCACTTGGAATGTTTTCCTCCTTATTTTGTTTGCCCTTCAGAATATACATTTCCTTCAAGGTCCATCTAAAATGCCACTTTTTACACGTTTTCCCAAATCTTTTCTGATAAATTAATTATTCTTTCCCCTGAGCTCCTCAGTCTATTACTATTTAGAACTTATTTTGTTCTTCCATTTTTCTTATACGTATGTCAACTTCTCCTACTACACTGTAAACTTTTTGAGGTTGAAACAATCTTCTATTCATCTTTATACCCGCACAGTTGTGTTACTAGAATGTTGACGTGAGATGCAAATGTTGAGTCAGTGTATAGACTATGCTTTTCCTCCCAAATCAAATACATATTGTTTTATGCAATGCTAATTGCTCTGAGAGAAATAACAGAAGAAATGATTCCTTCTGCCATTAACAGCCAGATGTACTGTAATCTTAGATGTGATGTAACCTTCTAAAGCTTCTTTATGATCATGTTACTCTTCTGGTCTGAATCCTTCCTGGTTTCCCATTACATAGTATATGAAGTCTTGACCTCTTCAACCTGTCTCTCAAGACTTCTGTAACATAGCATCAGATTATTCTTCTAGCCCTACTACTTTCTGTTTCTACCATCCCCTACAAATATTTGAAACTCCTACCAAATCAAATAACAACTTCGCTTTCTGAAAGCTGTCAGTTCTCCTTAAGTTAACCTATAAATTTAAGGTGCCCGCTAAACAAATACTGAGTTTCTTTCTTTCTTTTTTCCTTTTTTGAGCTAGATGAGTTCATGTTGAGATAAGGTTCATGCTGAGAAATTTAAAACAAGATAGAGTAGCTAGGATACAAGGTGGAACAGGGAAGGCGTGTATACGGTATCATACCTCTTCCCATGTCCTTCCCTCCCCTTCTTTGCTTATCAAAATATGAGCAAGGCCCATTTCAAATGTTATTTCTCCATGTTTTCTGATCTACACAACCAGGTATATGCTCCCTCATTAACTTCCATTGCAGTATTTAAACCCTTCTTTATAGTTTGCCTTACGTTAGTACAATCTCCTCTTCTACACACAAACAGAAATTTCAGAAAATGTCGAGATCATGAGTAAAATGGTTTTGAGATATTGGGCAGGGGAAAATGGAAAGTGTTAAGAGAGAAAGAAAACAAATTTTTTCTTCAGAATTCTTGTTGTGGGGAAGTGAGTTTTACATTTTGGAAATGTTTGAGACTGAATTATTACATACTGAGGATGTTAGAAAAGAATTTCACTTCTGTGGAAAAGTATTAGATAATAAATGACTTCTAATATCTTTTCCGACTTAAATTCCTAAATGTATACAAATCTCAAGAAGTAAGAGGGAAAATGTTGAGCTGGAGGTATATGAAATGGTAAAATGAAGCCTCGTGACACTAGGTACAACTTTTTACGTGAAGTTAATAAAACAATTTGATAACCTTATTTTGGCCACTATTTAATGCTTTCTTCCCTGAAAAACAACTTTATTTGAAGCTATTTTAAATCAGCAATAATGCTCATTTGAGTTTCA